GTCATTACTTGTTTCCATGTCATTATCATCATTTCGTCTTTTAGAAGTTACTATAAAACAAATCAACAATTAATACTTTTATATATATAAAACATGTGAGAAAAATTAATTTATTAGTGTGTGTAAAATAAATGTTGGCTTCCACCTTCCGGGAACCAAAGATTGGCGAATAAAAACAAATCCAAACGCGGTCTTTATCGGCACATAGAATATTAACCTTTGATATCTGTTTTATTTACGTGACTTGCCATTTGACGCTTTGGCTTCCATAACTTGCGTACATATGCAACCTGCCTACGTTTTCGCAAACGTTAGCATTCTCGAAGTCGAAGACTAAAGTACTGTACGGTGTTTGGGATTTTAAAAATTGTTTTAGCCCTTCAAAATACAAACAAAAGCACATCGTGTTAATTAGCTGGTAGGGTCACGGGTTATCTCTAGAGTGTATGATTTAAGTCGGTGATTCATAAATAGAGACGGAATCAGAGTTTGAAGTTTATGGGGTTCGGGGTTGTATTTTATTTAAATTATTGGATTCTAAATTAATAATTTATGTATATATTTAACATTTCGGGGTTGCCCGGTTGGGTTGGAGGGTGGTCATCCATACGGATGACCTGTGATTGAATCCCCCCTCAATGTCTTCTGGGTTAAGCCTGTCACACATGCTTGCCTAGTACGGTTTACATCCCCTGTGTGGTTTGTGGGCTATTGCACAGGGGAGGTTACCCAATGCGCACAAAGTGCCCTCCCGAAGGGCAGAGGCTGTGGCAGAGATTGTAGCGATTGCGGGTCCTCCTTACCAAAAAATTTTATATATATTTAATAAAATTCTTAAAATAAATAAAGAGTTGGACCAAAATTACTAAATTCGATCGAACTCTTATCCTGCATGCGAATTCCGTCCCTGGTGGCAAATGGCATATAGAAATCACTTCAGAGATAGGGCAATAGTAGTAAGCAATCTTTTGTACTCTCTTTTTTTTCAAACAAGAATGACGCATTTTCATATTTGAAAATAATTTATCACTATGCAATAATTTATATGTGCCTCATTGTACATTGCAAGCTTAAATTTTTTTTCTTTTTTCTTAAACTCCATACCAAATCAAATTAAAATATATAGGAATAGTATATGTTTCCAAGCCTATCTAACTAAAAAGACACAAAAATCTAGTTAACAAATAAGACGACAGAGACACGCCATAACTGACTTTTAATAAATAAATTGTTGCTAGTTTGGTGAGTTATTACTTCCTTCGGTCCAAAATAAGTGATTTTTTGGCCTTTTTCTTGTGGTCCAAAATAAGTGATTTTTCCAGATTTCAAGAATGAATTAATTATTTTTTTCCTACATTGTCCTTGGAGTAAATAGTGTTGGAATATGTGTTAAGAGTGTTTATGTGAGATAGTAAAAGTTAATATGGTCAATTCCATTGCTAATTAATGTTAAAAGGTGGATTTCTTAATCTGTGCGAAAACATCAAAAAAATCACTTATTTTGGACCGGAGGGAGTAATTAAAAACTCCAAAGCTGAATGGATTTTAGGTTTCTCTGGATCCGCACCACATGATTCATTCATTTTTGCGGAACTCTATGCCTTAACACAAGGCTTGAAATTAGCTTATGAAAATAACATCACACCTCTGGAGGTGGAGGTGGATGCAAAGGATCTTATACTATTATTACACTCTGAAAATATTGCGTTCTCTAACTTAATTGCTGATTGCAGGTACTATTTGGGCCAGCTGGGTAATCATGTAGTCAAACACGCGTACAGAAGCAAAACATGGTAGCAGACCAATTAGCAAAAGCAGGCCACAATTTTGGAAAATGAATATTTGCAAAGAGTTTTTGAAAATGTTCCTATTTTGTTGAACCAACTTTTGCAAAGAACAAGGCTTGTTTGGAAGGAATTCAATCAGTTCAAGACACTGCTTGGCAAAATTACAGTGGCAATATGAATCATCCATACTCGTGTGTAATTAGTTGTCATGATTATAATTTCAATAGAATGACCATGACAATTGTAAATACTAGTAGCTAGTAGTTTATGGCTTTGTAATACAATAATGGTTTGTAATAGAGTGTCAGACTGTCAGTTAGGCCCCAACCATCTGTACGCGATTACTAAGTGCAAATATATATTATCTTTCTGACAAAAATAAAAAAAAGTGATTATGGCTGACTACAGCAAGCATCTTGGGTTAATTATATATAATGTTTTCTATCAAAACTTGAAAAAAGGATTACCGCCTATTAATGAAATGAGTCACTAGATTCTACTTAAACATGATTTTTTTTTTTTTTTTTTTTTGAAGAATCATAGTGAAAATGAGAAGTCGAAAATTTGTAATGTTTATGCCTTACTTTAACTTACAGTCAACATGCAGCACAATGAGAAATAAAATTAAAATTACTTCAGAGCCCCAAAAATAGGTTTAACAAATACTAACGCAAAATATTATCCAAAAAACTTTCAAAGCAGGTAAGAAATATAAACATCATTTCTCCAAACAATACTTTTCAAAAACTTTTCCAACATTTTATTTTTTTGAAAAAAGTAAAAAAGAAAGGATTTATACACAAATAGCGGGTCGAATTTACTATTTACTTTTTATAGCCGATATACATCGCTTATACATTGATTACACACGATTATACACATTTTATATATGAATTATACGTATATATAATCCATAGTTTAGCGCCTAAACATATATAGTTTGGGAGAAATTTAAAAATAGCCAGATTTACCACTGGTCGTTGAAAAATAGCCAAGTTTCAAAAGTCATCGAAATATAGCCACTTTTTATGTAAAGATAAATCTGAGCAAAAACACTGTTCAAAATCCGAAAATACGCCCGCAAATTTTACAGGAGTTCCAGCATAAGTATGCTTGAACTCCCGCATATTTTACGGAGTTCCAGGATAACTATGCTGTAACTCCCGCAAATTTTACGGGAGTTCAAGTATAATTATGCTGGAACTCCCGGATATTTTACGGGAGTTCCAGCAAGTATAAATGTCCAGTAAAATATACTGAAGTTTGGAGCACTGGTGCTCCAGTCTCCCGTATATTTTACAGGAGTTAGCAAAGTATACCGGCCCAGTAAAATATGCTGGAGTTCGTAGACAAATGCACTAGAACTCCCATATATTATACGGGACTGGTCCCTGTTGCAGCAAAATAGTGGCTAGACTTGGTAAACGCTGGCTATTTTTGATTGACCAGTGCGAAAACTGGCTATACCATGAAATTTTAACATATAGTTTGATTTGTCATTTTTATTTAACACATCCCTACGAACAAATGCACATCCCACCTCACAAACATCAACTCTAATATTAATTCTCATTTTCAATTGTGTAAGTCGTTTCACCTCCAACAGATATATTATCAATTATGTAAATAACAAAGATCTTGAATTCTAAGTCTGAGTTCAATCAATTACGTGCAGAATATTATCACGTTCTTTGTTCAAAAAAAAAAAAAAAAAAAAAAAAAAAAAAAAAAAAAAAAGCAAAGTTACATATAGATGAATGTTACTGTTACATATTTAAAGTAAATAAATAAAAGCGTTATTTTCTCTAACCATTGGCCACGTTCAATTAACCTACTAATTTTAGTTTGTTGCAGCTTTACGGCATTCAGAGACGGTTTGAATCTATAACAGTCCAGCCATTTAGTTATATTGTCTGCTTTGGTCCTAATTTCATACAACCTTAAAATACATCACTAAAGTCTAAGGTTTATTTATTTATATACCGAACATCTTTTCCGTCTTTTGTTGATGTTGGATTTGCCTAGGGACATACCGTTCTAGTTGAGGTTTGTCCCACCATCGTTCAAGATTGCACGTTGAGTGACGCTGATACATATTTAGTAGCCCAGCCTACTAGTATTATTATTCACTTTGAGTCTAGTTCAGCACGATTTTAAAATGAGTCACTGGATCTTTAACTTATTTATTTATATATTCAACATCTCTTCTGTGTTTTATCATATAAATAGGATATCACATAGTCTCTCGCCGCGGAGAGTATATTCTGAAGTGACAGCAAACAAAAAAGAAAGAAAAAGAAAAATCAAATAAACTAAAGACTAGAGGGGAAGATAACAAAAAAAAAAAATATATATATATATATATATATATATATATATATAAAAAATAAAAAAACTAAAGTAACTAGGTAATAAGGGTACGTAGTCGCGTAACGGTGGGTGTCCGAGCTAAACGTGTAGGTCTACGATGGTTGGTAGGGAGGGGTCGTAGTTCGAAGTTAGTTATCATCGAAGAACCAAGTCCCTTATATTAATACACCTAAAAACTTTCTTTTTTTTTTAAGAAAAGTCTATAATTTGACTTATATAATAGACACTAAAAACGTCTAAAGGAGTAGTTTCTATTTACTTCTATCATACTAAATAGTACAAAACGTCCTCTCTTTATTCTTTTAGAACGTAAACAAAGAAAAACTCTACGTATTACATACAAAGAACGTACTACTAATCGTTTTTTAGTAAAGGGTTTTTAGTAAAACGTTCGTTAAAACTACTTTAAACTTTTAAACTTCTTTTGTCTTTTCTTCTTTATTTCTAATTTTATTTAAGTTACGTAAGTAGTTAATTTGTTTAGTTNTTTAGGGTTTATGGGTTAAGTTTTTGTAGTTTTTAGTCTTTAAAACGTTAAAATTTAGTTAAAGTCGCGTTTAGTACTTTTTTGGTTTAAGTTTTGGGTTTTTAAAGTTTTTCGTTTCGGTTTAGTTGTTTAACGNAGACTAGAGGGGAAGATAACAAAAAAAAAATATATATATATATATATATATATATATATATATATAAAAAATAAAAAAAATAAGACTAGGAATAGGGACTGCGCACGTGGGTGCCAGCAAACTGTGGTCTACATGTTGGTGGAGGGGCAGTTCAAGTAGTTATCATCAAGAAACCAGCCCTTTATATTTAATCACCAAAAACTCTTTTTTTTTTTGTTAGTCATAATTTTGACTATATAATAAGCACGAAAAACTCTAAGGAGATTTTCATTTCTTCAATCATCAAAATTAGACAAAAGTCCTCTCTTTATTCTTTGAAAGAACAAGAAAATCTGAATTCATCAAAGAGACTCAATCTTTTGAAGGTTTGTAATACTATCTAATTTAATTCTTGCTTCTCTTTATCTATTATTTAGTACTAGATATTATTTGATTTGGTATGGAGTTTTGATTAGTCTAAGTAATTAGTTAAGCGCTTGACTTTGTTTATGGTTTTAAGTTTCTGTGTTAATCTTGAAATCCAAAGTTTGTCCCTTACTTACAGTTTTGAATGGAATTTTTTTTTTTTTTGCTTTTAATGTTTGGGGTAAGAGTTTTTTGTCTTTTGAGGAGTCTATTCATGTTTTTTCTTCATTTTTTATGAGAAAAGACTTAAACTTGAAGGCTTTCTGCTCTGTGTTTTTTTCTGAATCTATTTTTCAGTTGTAAGAATTTTGGTTATTTCTAGGTTTCCTTTTGGTTTTATATTCTTTTTTTTTCTGTTGGTTCTGTTTTTCCATATTCAGGAAAAAAGTTTCTGCCTTTTCCAATTGGTTAACTTCCCTCTATTTACCATAAAATTGATGTCATATGCTAAGTTATCACTTTACTGAGTTAATTTTCAGTAGTCAATGATCTGAATGTTGTTGATACATAAATTGATCTAGATTTACAAGTCCCTTATTTTATTCTGTTTTCTCTTCTTTTGTGTGCTTTTTTCTTGGGGGTTGGGGGGTTTGGGGGGGTTGTTGATGAAATGCTAGCTTTTTGGGGAAAATGACACTATATAGACGCTTTCAAAATAATAGCCGAAAAGTGTGTGTATATATATATATATATATATATATATATATATATATATATATATATATATATTTCTGTATATTATATACAAAAAAAGTATACAAATTTTATACACTTTTGCGGCCACCATATGTAAATAGTTTTAGGCTAAAAGTGATCTTCGCCCAACTCTTTATGATGACAATTTGATTACTTGTGAATCTGAATATTGTGAAGATTATCTACTGTTCATAGTGTATTAATGTAAATCTGATGTGTTAGGCATAGCATTTGTTCCAAAATCTGAAATAGTTTCTTTTTATTTCCTTTTCCCATTTCTAAGCCTATGAGGGGAATGGCTAATGAGTAATGAGTTTTTTGTTTTAATTTTTTGTTTACTTTTTGATAAGTTTGTGAGTATTTGGTAAGCCTGCCACTGCAATTAGTTCTTTGTTCGTTACTCCTTCCGTTTCATATTATGAGGTAGCTTGATTCGACACGGAGTTTAAGAAAAAAAGAAGAAGACTTTTGAAATTTGTGGTATTAAAAGCTTAAGGGGTAAAAAGTTTGTGGGGGCATGACATTTGTGTGGCTATAAAAGCTTCTCATTAAGGGTAAATGGGTAAAATGAAAGAGTTTAAAGTTGAATTATTTCTAAATTTAGAAATGTGTCATTTGTTTTGAAACAGACTAAAAAGGAAAGTACCTCATTTAATATGAAACGGAGGGAGTACTTCATTTAGTAGTTACAGATAATGAATTAATGTTTTAGTGCAATTAGCTGTCTTTCCTTGTTCTTTTCTTGATATGAGTTGGTTACACTTTTTCTTTTTTCAAATGTGTCTTCCCTCAATTAGGTATGCAAACACAACATCATTAATTACTGTCTTTTTTTCTTCTTCTTTTGTTCTTTCCTTGATATGTCAAGATGTCCTATATGGCTGATTAATTACACATTCCTGTTGAGAACTGCATAGTTAAGGTGTAAAGAGCTGTTTTTCTTCATCCACTGTGTGTGTTTGTGTGTTGTTTCGTCCCATTTATTTCAATTCATGGCTGCATAGGTATAGTATCTTGGTGAAGGGCAGAGACGGAGCCAGAATTTGAACTTTTTAGGTTCTAAGTTCTATGATAGCGATATCAGGTGTTAGTAACTGGGTCTTGACTTTGACTTTTATATGTATTTAGTGCATTTATTAATACAAATACAAAGTTTGGACTAAAGCTACTGGGTTCTGCCGAACCGACACCTGACCTTCTAGCTCCGTCCTGGTGAAGGGATGGCCACGGTTTGTGAGATATAAGTCAGTATGGAGTTTGAGAGCTGTAGTTGGATGTTCTGAAATGATGAACTGTCCTTCATCTTCATGGTATTTGGACCGATATGAATGATCATAGCTTCTTGCTGCTATTTGTTTGATATTTGTCATTTTCTGCTACTTTTTTGTCATACGCTGTGATAAAAAGATGTGGATGCTTTCTTTGTCTTCGCATAAGCCCTTTTCGGACTGCTACTTTTGGTTTAGAGCGTCACATATTGATCAGACCTGCATTGACACTGATTCAATTTACATTTTTGTTCTTTGTTCTTTTGTGAAAAATCTCTTGTTGCGTTTACTGCATTTTACCAATTTCCAGTTAATCAAGATTTCAAGTAACTGATCATGATTTTCTTTATTGGCAGATTTTTGTTGGTTTTGACATTCGGCATGTCTGCTGAAATGTTGTGACTACTTTTAACTAAGAGACATCTGCAGATTGCTAACGCACCTCCTTCACTAAGTGTGTACTTTATCAAATCAAGGATAGCTTTGCTCTGAAACAGTACCGTGAATTTATCCTAAAGTATCATAGCCAGTTCGAAGCGAGTCTATAACTTATTCGCATATGCAAGCATCCCAGAGACTGATGGACAAAGTTGAGCAATATTATAGTCCTTACTATGTTTTTAACAACTCCAATGATACTAGCAGCTCAGGGACACAGTTCTCTTTTCAGTCGCAGAACGAACAGTTCTTCACTCTGGACTCCTTGCCTGCTGCCGGATATGTCATCTACGACTCGCCTCCTGCAGTAAGCGTCTCTTCCAACTGGAGTCCCTTCTCTCCCCAATATTCTCAGTCAACCATTTCAGATCAGCATCATTCCTCGGACAACACTTACGGTTCACCTTTGAGCGGGTGTTCGGGAGTTGATGGTGTGCTAAGCGAGATGGCAAGTAAGTTGCTTGGCCCTGAATCCGATATTGATGACAGCAGCAGTTGCTCTTTTAATGATGTGGCCTCTGAACCTTCTTCCCTAACAAAATGGAATCGAGTATTGGAAATCGCGTCGAGCTTGGACGTGAAAGAGCTGCTCCTCGCCTGTGCTGAAGCAGTGTCGGATGCTTATTTCCCGGCTGCAGAAGTTCTGATGAATGTCCTAGAGCAAAAGGTATCCGTTTCCGGGGAACCTATGCAACGGTTGAGTGCGTATATGTTGGAAGGGATTAGGGCAAGACTGTTTTCATCAGGAAGTATCATATACAAAAAGCTGAAGTGCAAAGAACCAACTAATTCAGAATTGTTATCTTACATGCAAGTCCTCTATCACATCTGCCCTTACTACAAATTCGCTTACACGTCCGCCAACGTCGTGATCGATGAAGTCATGACGAACGAGAACAGAATCCATATAATTGATTTTCAAATTGCACAGGGAAGTCAATGGATGTTCCTTATTCAGAGTCTTGCTCGTCGGCCTGGTGGACCACCATCCGTCCGCATCACAGGTGTTGATGATTCCCAATCAGCTCATGCACGTGGAGGAGGACTTCAGCTAGTCGGTGAAAGGCTAGCAAAAGTCGCTGAATCATGTCGAGTGCCTTTTGAATTCAATGCTGCTGCAATTTCGGGCTCTGAGGTTGAGCTAGAAAACCTTTATATTAGACATGGAGAAGCCTTGGCAGTTAACTTCCCTTACATTCTGCACCACATGCCCGATGAGAGTGTAAGCACTGTTAACCATCGCGACCGCCTATTAAGACTGGTTAAGAGCTTGTCCCCAAAAATCGTTACCCTTGTTGAGCAAGAATCTAACACCAACACTGCTGCTTTCGTTCCAAGATTCCGTGAAACTCTGGACTACTATACAGCAATGTTCGAGTCAATTGATGCAGGTCGTCCGAGGGATGATAAGCAGCGGATCAGTGCAGAGGAGCATTGCGTGGCGCGAGATGTTGTGAACATAATAGCATGTGAGGGCGCTGATAGAGTGGAAAGACATGAACTTTTCGGCAAGTGGAGTATGAGACTTAAGATGGCTGGATTTACGCCATGCTCCTTGAGTCCATCGGTTGGTGAAGCTATCAACGACATGTTGAAGGACTATAGCTCGAATTATAGGATTGCAGAGAGCAAGGGCGCGCTTTATCTTGGATGGAAGAATAGAGCTTTAGCTACTACTTCTGCTTGGAGATGAATGTTTTTGCAATTTTTGTCTAAAGCTGTAAATCATTCGTGCATGATCTTGAGATGTTACCTTTTCAGAAGGCTAGAACAGTGTATTGTTAACCCTTTTTAAATTTAAGAAAGATAGGACAATGAAATCTTAGTCTTGTACATGTCAACATTGGAAGGAAAATACTAAAAAAGGGCAGCCCGGTGCACTAAGCTTTCGCTATGTGAGGGCTTCGGTGAAGATTCTGACTATAATGGTATATTGTACTCGGCCTTATCCTGCATCTTTTGCAAGAGATTGTTTCCACGGTTCGAATTCATGACCTCTTGGTCTCATGGCAATAACTTCATTAGTTACGCCAAGGCTGCCTTTCATTGGAATAGAACTTTGTGTTGTCCCACATTTTTAGCACAGAAACATTTGAAGGCAATTGTCAAAATTTTCTAGACTTATCTATCTTTTTTTTTAATTTAACTATGGTATCCGGAACGGCTTGGGCGCACCTCAACTAATTTCACACTAGAACTAATTGTACTGTGAATTGAATAACAGTGCTTCTATCTTGTTGTTTTGATAGTTCAAGATCGTGATAATGTTGGCCAACTGATTAATGTAAGTATGTAACCATTATTTTACTTAGAATTTCAAGAAGTGAATCCTTTTCTTTCGTGTCCTAGCCTTAATTAAAAAAAAAAACAGCCCGATATACAAAATATTTGGTATTCATGCGGGTTTGGGAAAGGCCCGCACCTTTTGGGGTGTGATGGTGGACACTCTAACTTAATGCAATCGTTAGTGGTTGCTTCCACGGCTCGAACTCGTGACCTATAGGTCACACGGAGACAATTTTACTGTTGCTTCACTCCAAAAACATTTCTCTCATTTAACTTAGAACAAAACAATGTCAATACTAAATATTTATATAAGATATATTTACAAGGATAGAGAAAAAAAAACCACCAAAAAATAACCCAAAAAAATTTCAAGGAAAGAAGTTATTTATATATTGGAAAGTTCTACCTTTGCAAAAATGATACATCAAAAATTGTTCAAGAATGTTGATATCCTCTCTCACATGTGCCCCATTTAATGCCAAGCTACACATTATTGTTGTATTTTTAACAAGACTTTCTGCATTCTCTTTGGCATTCAGTTAATGTGAAAACTCTAATTTGCAAACATTCATAATAACATTGTGGCAAAGAGTAATTCACATTGCTTTTTTCAGGTGCATTTGTGACTTTTATTGTTGCATCTGTAGCCACCAACAAGCAAAAGATCACCATTAAGGTAACCAATTTCCTGCTGGCCATTTTTGCAAAACACACAAAATAAATAAAAATTTTCTTTGTGTTTTGATTGAAAGGAGGGGAAGGCAAAAGAAAGATGAATATTTATAATTTTTTTGTTAATTTTCTTTCTTTTCCCTTCTTCTTTTTCTTGAAAGATTTTTGTTTTTGTTTTAATGGAAAGGAAAAGAAGGAAATGATTTAATTTATATAGAACGAAAAAGATGGGAAAAAACGTGTAAATTGGTTAACATTTGAGCTAGCTTCAAGCAATGATATATATTTGTTACATGTTTCAATGGTTTTAAAAGAATTAGCTGGGAATTTCGCGTTGGTTAAGATTTGGAGAATATACTTGGCTCACATAAACTTTTGGAATTCATGTAATAAATACTCTCTCCGATCAAGCAATTGGTCTAAAATACGTGTCATTTTAGAAAATCAAGAAAATATTATGATTAAATAAATTCACCTTAAATCTTACTCTAATTAATGTGGAGAGAGAATGATAATATAATAAAAGCAAGAGTAACACTTATATATTGAGAAATAAACAAGGATAATTTATTTAAATTATTTTCTAATTAATATTTTGTTAAGGAACATGTAAAAACATGGTGACAAGTAATCCTAAGCGAATAGCGTTATACAATCAGACCTCTCTATAACAGTATTCCAATATAACAACACTTCACGATAAAAGCCAAATTCTTTCGGAACCAATTTTCATGTTATGTTATAATATATATTCTATATAACAACATTTCGCTATAACATTTAAAAATATTCGGAACAAACGAGATCATTATAGAGATGTTTGACTGTATATGCTTTGGATAACCAAGCTTGAGTTTCTTGTGTTCAGGTTTACGGTTGTTAGGGAGTTGTAACTGCTAAAACCATGGTCATAGCTTTTCATCTAATACATTAGAAAGTATACTCCTAGTTCATTGGATCAGAACTGCAGTGAAAAAGAATACCATAGTTAAAGCATTTTTTAAGAACACTATTTGTGTTTGGGCCAACTTGCGAATATTTCGACTAATATATCAGTGTTACGAATCAACCCCAGCCCAATAAGGATATCAATACACAAATAGCTATTGGGCTGATAAAACTATTGGGCCAAACAAGCAATAGGGCCAGGCTAATTTAGGATCCGGGTTGATCAATGAGCCCATCAACAATTCTATCAAAAAGAGTAGTAGTCGGTGATTTTGGGATTGTGTGAATTGTTTAGTACTTTTGATCCCTCTCTCGTCTCCGTTCTTCTGGTTTCTTCCTCGTCCTCTGGACTATCTCTTTCTATTCCTCGGCTCTCTCTATCCTTCTTCTCCGAGTCTCTTTCTTAGTTCTAGTTTCTGTTATTGTAAGTTGAATCTTTGAGTTTATGAATTAAACCTAATATTTCCTCGTTTACTTTGTATTGTGAATTCGGGTCCATAATAGTCAGATACCTATTAGTTCTCACTAGCACAAGTATTAAACAATTCTAGGACCACCTATAGTAATGCAGATGAGAAGAACGTTAGTAAAGCATTTTTATTCTCTGAATTACTAACTACTTCTATACTTACACGTTGAGAGTTTGAAGTTTTAGTTTTACTTATCTTCCTTCCAGTGGCGAACCTAGGATTTTGTGCAAATGGGTTCAATCTTAGAAGTACATAACTTTAATCGTAAAATAGTAGTTGTCAAGTGGTTCAAATAAAATATTTATACAAAATTCACGTTGTTTTAATCGTAATTTATACATATACATAGTGTTTGGCTCAAAAGTTATCTATATACTTAGTAAGCTTAAAAACAATCAAAAGTAGATAAGGATAAATCGTAATCAATATAATGAGACCTAGAGTTGGAGATGATGATAATATAAAGGCAGATCTGATAATGCAAAGAGACAATAAGAGTTTCAGAGAGAGAGAGTTTAGAGATAGAGATAGAGAGAGAAGTAGAGAGTTGTATTATTGATAATAATACTTGATGCCTTTTACAATGTGGAGGTCTCCCTTATATACTAGGAGACCTTCCTCGAAATAATAAATAATGATAATAAAATGTTACAGAGATAGGCAACGTCTTTCTGGTGAAGACATTGAGTCCTAAGCGATGTCGCACCCGTCCCCGTGTCCGGGACGTACCCTTACAATAGTGGACGTCTACTCACAGGGCGTGCCCATTGGTATGGGGACGTTTGGGGGTTAAATTCGACCCCATACACATAGTATTATTTTTTGATGAAGCCGATTCAGTTGAACCCCCTTGCCACCACGTGCGTCCGCCACCACTTCCTTCTATTGGTTCATTGTACATTTTTCTTCTCTAACTCCATATGTTACATATAGACTTTTTAATTAATCAATTAAAAACATTCAGACTTCTCTATAACAATATCTCTATATAACCGTAATTCACTATAAAAGTTAATTTTTTCTTGAAATAGATTTTTTATGTTATGTTATAATATGTCTTCTATAATAGCACTTCACTATAACATCCAAAAAATATCGGAACAAACGAGAATATTATACAGGATTTGACTGTGCTATAGAACTAACCAAAAAGGAGAATTAATATATTTAGAGCAAATACACGGCGGAACAAGAAGTTCAAGCAGTCAAGCAAACCATATAAACTAGCTAAAACCTCAAAATCTATGTAAGAGAAACCCCTAACCAGTCCTAGCTAATACTTTGTGCCTTTGTGGAATTTAAGAAAAGGCAAGAACAGGGTGAAGACTGAGATCATGGAAAGAATCAGTACAATTTAAATGTTCGAACTCATAAGAAAAGAAATATTACCATATGGTATCAACTTCTAAAAATAACGATAAACTTTGATGTAGTATCTTCGAAAATATTCCAGTGATCAACCACTCGAGCAAAGTATGAATCAGTTGTAAGAACCCAAACAATTGCATACACAATGAAAAAAGTTGTAAAAATTTCAAGACAACAAATCGGTCGGGAAAGAGGTATGTTGCCTTATAACAATGAGTTCATTTGAACTCAGAACTTTTGACACGAACAATATATTAGTTTAGTGCAAAGTAAAGTTGAACTCACTTAGTTTAAATACTGAATTCGCCTCTGACATTAGTCTAAAAGGAAACTGAAGAATACTCAAAGGAAGAGTGGCTAACAAATTAAACTAAGCAAGAATATGAAGATCAAGGATTTCAAGAGGTAAAATGGATGATGAGCTAATATGGAAATCTGTGACAATTAGAAAATGATCCAAGCAAAAAAGCTCAACTATGAAGAAGAAGAATTGAAGAGAAATATATAGATATTGAACTACTACAGATCTAAAATGATGTCGATCACTCTCTTTCTAAAGCTACGGTCGTGCCATCAATGTATTTTTGTTGGTGCCTAGCCCTTGTCCTTCGAATGTGTGTTAAAAAGCGTCAAGATCACATATGAGTGCATTGCCATCATCATTAGTCGATATGTTATCCGGTTTCAAATCACAAAGAACAAGGAAGCTGGCGTGCGCTATATGTAAGAAGTATATATGCGATTTCCCTTGACAACTTCAATGTTGTTGGCCAATCCAATCCTTCAATCTTTGATGATTGGTCCTTGTTACTTCTTCATTCGAGGGAGATCAAGAAACCTTGTTGAAATATTGTATTTGAACTCGACCTACAACATCTATTATGCCCTTTTATGCGGATAAATAATTTATGCAGCTGAAATTGCCCTGTGATAATCGTGTCATTTTCAAGGCATACTTGCCTGAAGGCAACCCTAATGGGTTCACATCATCACATTGGTATGAAAGAATTTTTTTTTAAAACATTCAACATAACACTCAGAGTCACGTGCTTTTCAAAATTATAATATTCAAGCATGTTACATACGATTAGCTGGCAAACCTAACTAAGCGTATTACGTATCAATCACGCACCAAAGGTTCTAGATTTCTTAAAAAAAAATTACGAGGAATAATACTTTGTGACAATGGTAAATTTAAGGTGAAAATAGTTCTAATCTTCTCCACTCCATCCAATTTGGTGAAGAACTCATTGACTGTCTAAGGATTCTCTGATTTCTCTGTTTGGCCTTCGTTGACTCAGTTAGGATCATGTAATTTGGTCGGCTACTATTTCTATCTTCAGTCCTATCTGATGCCAACATTGTGTTATCAGACATACGGACACGACGAGCTCTAACACGGGATTGTACCCGAACTAGAGCTATCATACACCTAAGAGTCACTGCAGTTTGCTTCCTTACTTGTCTTCCCCTAACAAGTGCTTGAAGCCTTACCAATCCTTTCAAGGCACTTAATGTTCTTCTTGCCAAGAAAGCACGAAAGGCAGTTTGAATCCTGATAGCAGTCCATTTTTCCCTCTCTGCTTTAAAATCTTTAGGAGGAGCTCTAATCACAGTAGCTACAGCAGCTGTGTAAACATCATTATTCATTGATGATGAATCTGACCCTTCTGACCCAATACCGCCATTTCTGTGCTTAAATCCTTTCCACGTACACCCTCCAATATCCACTGATGAACTCCTTCACAGCTTCCATTTCTTGCTCTTTCCACTCTATCTTCTTTTTCAGACTTCTTGAATCCTGTCAAAGCTTTCACCCATTTTCCAGAAGCATTGATTTTCTTGTTTTTTCTTAAAACCCCAACTTCAGATTCTGTTCAACAAAACAAGCTTAAGTAGAGCCAAAAATACTCTTTCAGATTTGATTAATACTGAACCGGCCCCATTTGATTACAACAGAGTTCAACTCCGGACCTTCAAACTTGAACCAAGAATGGACAGCGGCAAGAACCTTAGACTTAAAATTTCGACGGCAACCTCGACTGAATTTTCAACAGAACTTTGACCAAACTCGAACCCTTTTGACGATGAAGAGATGTAGCTAAAATAAGTGATTGACGAATGATACTAAGTGGTTGAGCTACTGGTTCTGGATGTGGTTTCACTGTTGATTTTTTAGGGAAAAGGTGGCGTGGTTGGTGTTGAACTCGACTTTACATCGCAGCTGCTACATGGCTGGTTGGAATCGTTTCGTGATGGTATATGGCTGGTTTTTGCGTGACTGAAGCAGGGGGTGAGGGGCTATGGGTGGCCGATTTTGGCTCGCCAGATTCCGGCGATTTTTACGGTTCAAGTCAGAGAGGCGATGGTTGTGTGTGGGGGAGATCTGATATGAAAGAATTAAGTTGTTACTTGCAGCAATAATGGTTGCTTCTTTCACGTAGTTGGAAAGAAATTAGGATCTTGTAGTATAATTGCGGATTCAGGTGACTCTTAAAAACATCATATAGCAGTTGAGAAATATTGATTGCCTTGATCAGAGGACCCAAAGCATTTTTATATAACAATTCCTGCTCCAAAAAGCTTAGCGTCAAGATAGGAACGGATATGTATTTCCTTTACCATAACACTTGTCTAACAATTTTTGACATTTATGTTTAATATTTGCGTTAGATAAGTTTTTATAAAATTAAATGTATAAGTATATTTTAATATTATATATTTTATGAACTAAACAATAGGTGTAACAATTATGCTTCACAGTTATGTATAAGTTTTTATAATATAATGTTTATGATCAGAGGACCCCAAAATATCATGTTTCTCCAAAAAAATAAATACTTCATTTGAAAGATGGATCTTGGGCCGAAGCTAAATAACTTAACCTCGAAATAATAATCTTCTGTAAGAAAAAAATCTAAAATTAGTAAGTTTCAACCCTCAAAGTCTTGCTAACAATCTGTCGTTAACTTGGTATGGACTCCTAACTTTTAAAGAAAGCTAATGTGATTTTAGTTAATACTCAAAATGTTGAAAATTTAGATGGCTAATTGTAAAGATCTTTCTCAAGTCATGACGTTATTTACAATTAATCGTAATAATCCAGAAAATTAATGATGGGAAATATATTTGGGAGTTTCAGGCTCGTGGATTATTCTCTTTTGCTAAAGATTAGTGTCAAAATGATTTTCAAAACTAACCAAATCGATCTAATTAAGCTCAACTAGCAGACAATTAAACCATTAGGAACAAATTATGGTGAAAAATATCAAAATTTTGCACTCCTAGAAATAAGAAGAAGAACAGGTAGTAACTAAATATTGAATCCATAATAAGAGGATTACTAAGAGAACTAATCTTAAGGAGATAACAGTGTAAATTTCTCTAATCAATATCCCAAATTTCGGGTTGGTTATATTTTTGGACAAAATTTGACTTCTAAAAGAAAATAGACCGACTCGAGTTGCTTTTTTTCTTTTATTGAATTGATCCCACCAGAACAAAATTCACTTGATTGATACTTGCACATACACCTAGCAATTCAACATAGAATTCAAGATATTTCATCGAATCATAGAATGAAGAGATTCTACTTGTCTCCTAAAAATATTTTTGGATAAAAAAGTAGACCGTGAAACTTTTTTGTTAAGATTTAAGTTTTTTGGGTTAATAGTTACACAAAAGATATTTCCTTGTGTAACTACTAACCCAGTAGCACAAAATGATTTTTGGGTTCAGTGGCCAAGTAAGGGGATCACCAGAACTCGTAGATTTTAAATCTTGAATTTGTCTATGACTTAAACTACTTGAACACATCATAGAACATGGAATAAGAGAGCACCCAATTCTCAAGTCGATGTTATAACCAAAACTAGGAATTGCAAAAATTCAGTCGAGAAGTAAATGTTTTAAGATATAAAGAAGTAGGACATAATATATGCATTAAGGTGAAGTAATGTTAGACGTGGTTGGAGAATCTAAATGCAGATAATAGATGAAGATATAACACATCGAATTAAAATAGAATATAATGATTGAATTGGATGAGTGTTACAAGAGTGATATTCGATGGACAAATATATATTAGTGAATATTGGTCAGTTAAGGCTCAAAATATTCACATGATGTATGTCATACAAAGTGTATCTTACTTTGGGTGTGCAACAAAATTGAATAAGATCACAAAACAATCACATATAATGGTGGATGCGCGTATTAAAATGAGAAGATCGACTAAGATGGTTTGATCATGTCATGGACCTCCACACGCACCGATCCACATATGTGACAATATGGTGATATAAGTTTATAGGAAAAGATAGACCTCCAATGAAAATCAAGAACTATAAAAAAAAATGGAAGCAAATTCATATATGCGATTCAAACTAGTTGGTAAATAGAATTAGTTGCTACAACTAAATTCTTTTTATTTTGATTAGAGACTTTTATGTACGTGTATATATAAGTGTGAGATTTAATACCTTTAATTTGTCAAGACATATGATTTTGTATAAGACATTGTGAACATGACTAGAATGGAATGGACACAAAAAATTCATAGAGCCAACTCTAACTAGTTTGAGATCCAATGGATCAATTGAATACTCATCTTTAATTTTGTTAAGACTAATGAAAAGAGAAACAAAGGGAAGATGAAACTGTCACGACCCAAGCCATAGCATGTATTGTCCGCTTTGGGCCTACGCTCGCACGAGTTTGTCTTTCGAGCTACGTCACCTCGAGTCCTAAAAGCGCGCATACCATGTGAACTTGTGTCATGCCTTATAAAGCACTTCACTTTTCTCTTTCCGTCTCTCGTTTCGATGCGAAATTCGCCTAAAGTGACATGTGTACCCCTTCTTGACTCGCTCTCATCAGAAGCTTGCCAGCCTAGCCAGTCATGCTTGACTCGCCCTCATCAGCCTGCCCTCCATCACGGGCATCACAGAAACACAGACAGAAAAGAAGCAGCTGAACAAATTGAATTATACAAAACTGCAAAACTCAAAAACAGTCCCAAAAAAAAGGTTCACCCCCCCTTGAGATAATTTACATTTTCTAAAGAAAGTTTTCCTATAACACTGAAAGAAAGTTTTACTTTTTCTTCAACAGTAACAAGAAATTGAATTACATCACAGAAGGAAAATGTCCTTCCCATAGTATAGCTTAAGATGAACAACATCTACCCTTCTTTGTTTCTGCATCTGTTTCTTGATTTCCATCAGCTTGCAAAACCACAGTCTTACCATTTGCTAGTCGACCCGAATCCTTTTTCTGGAGCTCTTGAGATTGAATAACCTTCCTGCTCAGAATATTATAGATCTCCCTAACAACCGTCTGAAAAGCGGAAGCTACATTCGACGAATCCAAAGCTGAAGTTTCTATGAAAAATAGTCCCTTTGCCTCGGCCAAGGCTTTGCCTTCTGCTGTTGTAACCTCCCGTGCATCTTTGAGATCGGATTTGTTGCCAACGAGTATTGTAACCACATTCATGTCGGAATGAGCTGTCCACAACACATTATAAAGATATGCTAGTCAATTAAAGGAACAGCCGGAAAAAAAGGCAGCCCGGTGCACTAAGCTCTCGCGGGTCTATGGTAGGGCCGGACCACAAGGGGCTATTGTACGCAGCCTTACCCTGCATTTCTGCAAGAGGCTGTTTCCACAGCTCGAACCTATGACCTCCTGGTCACACGGCAGCAACTTTATTAGTTACGCCAAGGCTCCCCTTGAGCATACTTTGCTGAGAAAATGGACCGAAAATAAACAATGCTATTTGAAGATGTTGAAAAACGAATCTGTTGAAAGATGAATTAATAGCATATTGCTTACTCTGAAGTTCATTAAGCCATCGACCAATGCTATCAAAAGTCAGGCGCCTACTGATATCGTAAACCAGAAGCGCTCCAACTGCACCCCTATAATATGCAGAAGTAACTGCTCGAAATCGTTCTTGACCAGCTGTATCCCATATCTGCGCTTTAACCTCCTTTCCATTGATGTCCATCTTTTGGGTCTGAAATTCTACTCCAATTGTCGATTTTGAGTTTGGATAGAATTCATCTCTAGCAAATCTGGCAAGCAAATTGGATTTTCCGACTGCAGAATCACCAATCAAAACAATCTTGAAAAGGTAATCCTCTTTTTTCTCTTCCTCAGAATGTAGCGCCATCTTCTACACCGCATAAAAGGGAAGCAGCTAGAACACCATAACGACTTATCTATGTAGCTAAGATGCAACAGCCTTTTTCAGAATCTAAATGCTGAAATAAAGAAAAGTGAAGAATGAGCAGGTGTAGGCTCTCGGGAAAAAATCTCAAAATCAGGGTTGGCTAAAAAGGAAATACCAAAGGCAAAGAAGAAAGTGGAAAAAGTTCTGTCTGAAGTTGAGGAGTGGCACTACAATATACACTGTGCTGTGCACCATGAACTACAACTTCCCTCGTCCGGTCACTGCACAATTAAGTTACTTCCTCCCGTTCTAGTTCAGTCCTAGAAGGAAGTGACAGCTTTTAAATATCTGCACGAAAGTACTTAAAGTTTCAGCAACGAATCGAGTACAATTAAATGAAACAAGTTTCCATGCTTCTATAGGATATAATCTAAACATAATAAGGGATAAAGAATGAGATAGTGTGAAATCAATTAGATATAATGTCCCACCACCTACTAAGCTCCCACTCCCTTGCTTCTTGCTGCCAAGAAGTTAAGCTCAAACCTGAAAGTAATATGGTGGAAATCAAGCACAGGAAAGAATCAGTGTTGCGCACTTAAGCCATGAAGATCAGAAAAGCACAGCGAGGGCACTTCGCCTCGCTTAAGTTGCGCTTCAGCCTAAGGCAAGGCACTAAGACATGAACCTCATTGCTTTTGAGTTTTGTCGTAAATCAAGCGGCAGTAAACAACTAAAGATAATTGGAAAATAAGCTTATTAGCCGTGTCTATATATCTATATATAAAACATTACGCCTTTTTTTTGCTAAAGCCCAAACTTTAAGTGCACTTTGCACTTAAAGCCCCAACAGACCTAGAGCGCTTTTACAAGCTTTTCGCCTTTGACAACACTGGAAAGAATTATAAATTACTGGTATTTTAGGGTCTGAAAAATGCAAAAAGAGACAGATGCAATGCACAAGAATCAGAAAGGGGAACAGATTCTTCAAACTTCCATGTATATACAATCTGAACGTCATATATTAAACAATTCAAGATTATTTGCTTCAAATAGGGACATCTTTTGGCTATAATTCAAAAATAGGATATTCATCAAACACCATAAGGAGGTACAAAGCGATGGTGATGTAACTTTTAAAGAAAGAAAGTCATGTTCATGCATTTTATATTACAGATAGTATCCGAGCCAACTTGCATGCACCTCAGCTATAACTACTACCTCCCACTAGCATATGTACTGACTTACTCTATCCGCCTAGGCTTAGGAAACTGCGAAGAGTTCACCTAGTGGTATTGGGATTCACCCCTAGTTCCCAAAGTTATCACTCTTAACTCTTTAACCACTGAGCAACGTTTGGAAGATCCAGAATCCATTATTGTTTATAAGCACATGCATCTTTCCATGAAATGATTCAATCAACGATACCCCTCAATCCCAAAACCAATAGGGTTGGCTATGTAAATCTTGTCTACTACACTATTCGCTCTATTTAGGTCTATTCCATTCCAATACTAAATAACAGCATAACTAAGGGTTCTATAAATCTCTTACATGACTCTTTGTTATTAGCTAACTCTACAACAATAACAGACAACAACAGCAACATGCCCAGTATAATTCCACAAGTGGGGTCTGGATAGGATATAGTGTATATGTAGACCTTAGCTCTACCTTGTGGAGGTAGAGAGGTTGTTTCCGAAGATCCTCGGCTCAAGGTATTAACTAACTTTGTTCTTCCTATAACAAAGACTTCATATCACACCACATATCTAGCAGATGGTCTGCAAATTTATTCAACATAACCGCATATATCTATCCAAAAAAAACAAATTGCACCCAAATGAATAGGAAATTAGCCCCATCAACATGTAAATCACATTGACAATTGATAAGGAAATTGACCTAAGGAAATGAGAACAGTATCCTAAAGCTCAATGTTTTCCTATATATGGGACCCTTATAGTAAATAATTTCAACAATAAGCTGCATTGCATAAAACTGTCAAATCATGTCTAAATAAAAAGAGCAGCTCTATTTTTGTATGACTCAGAACAAGACATACAATAATTACTAAATTATAACTAAACAGTTTTCTGACATAACTACTTCTACTCCAACATCTTAAAACTATCTCAGAGTTTTGGCATTTACCCATTAAACATTAAAAAAAGACACCTGATACTAAATGCAAATAGCAACACATCTCTTTTTCAGGATATTCCTCAATAACCCCAGATTTTAATTTCAAGGTTAAACAAAGAAAAAATGGGGCAAAAAGATAGAAACAAATTTCAACCTTGAGCAGTTCTAGCACAAAAAAAGAGGCTTTTTCTTCATAAAATCTTATAAAAGAGAGAGCTTTCAAGTAAAAGATGGTAACAAGAAACAAATGGGGATTAAAAAGTTTCAATCTTTTTTGACATAGGCACATACCCACTTTTATTTTCAAGGTAAAACAAAGAAAAAAAATTAAAAAGCTGAAAAAGGGTCAATCTTTAGAAGTTCTAGCACAAAAGAAAAGGCATTTTCTTGATAAATTCTTATAAAAGAGATATGTTTCAAGTAAATTATGAAATAAACTAATAAATAAACAAATGGGATAAAAAAGATTAAATCTTTTGAGATAGGAACATACCCAATTATTTATATGATCAAATGCTACATTCCCCCTTATGAATATATCAAGTGTGTGATCAAATCAGAACCTACGGCGGTAACAGATCAATGAATAAAAACAGGTAAAAAGTGGAGGGATTTGAAAATGTGTGGGGAAAAACATAGGAATCAAATGATTATGGTTTGGGGTTTTGTTAGGACAATTTTGAAGATTCAAGGAAGTGGACAAGAGAGAGAAGAGAAGAGAAGGCAGATGTAGCAATAGAAAGCTATTAATTGTAATCAATATGTTTGGCATACTGTTTGTATTATTCCGTCCGGTCCATAGTAAACGATGAATTACAAAAAATTTAATTTATTTTTTCAAAATTATTCTTATGTATGCATTTCTAAAATTGATTAAATTATGTTGTAAGATTTAATTAAGGATAGTTTAGTCACACTAACTATTTTTGTCTAGAATTTAGTATTTTCTTAATGGGTGTGTCCAAGACAAATTGGTCACTTATCGTGGACCGGAGGGAGTAATATTTTAGTAATGGAAAAAAATCAAAAGGCAAATACATATGCAACCCATTCAACTTGGCTCCATTTTTTATTTTGGCACTATATCTCAACCTTGTTTCATTTTGGCCCTCCAACTCTATTTCTTATGTTTCACTTTAACACAAAAATTGAAACCAGTGCAAAAAATATAGCGCGTGTGTATATATATATACAAATCTGAGGTGTAATAAATATACAATTAAATGTTGCCACCTGATTTTTTTATCCATATCAAACCGACCAATACTAAAATACCCGAACCCGATAGTATTTGGGTAAAATTACGTCTGCTTCTTATTTACACAAGAAAATGACAACACTGAAAATGAAATTCGGAAATGGTTCACTTATTTTGTCAAATTTACACCCATAAAAGCGATATATTCATTAGATCATACTATGTGCCTACCACGTAAAAAAAAACCACAAAAAAATTAATTAGAATAAATAAACGATCAATAAAATTGCAAGTTTTCTGGATGGCCAGGTATGAAATCGGCAAATGAAAACTTTGTAACTTTGAGAATGAATATGGGACTAGTTAGCTTTTGTGTTAAATGAAACATAAAAAATAGAGTCGGAGGGCCAAAATGAAATAAAGTTGAGATAGAATACCAAAATAAAAAATATGACCAAATTAAATGGACCGTATATGCATTTGGCCAAAATCTTATCATGAAAAAAGAATATTGGAAGTCTCTACCAAAATCTCGGCGTTGTTATATGACTATGAAATAAAATCACTTTGATTTTAATTACTACGAAATGTTGGGAATACATATTGCATGAGTATTTTTGTCTTTAGATGTTCTTATCCATATGTTGTTAATACAAATATAATTTATTTAATCTCCTATCTCGTATATAAAATTATACTCCTAACTTATACCTGCATTAGTTATTTAGTTATAAGATGTTTGGGTTTTTGGTGTTAAGATTCACACAAGTTCTGGAGATCATAATAAATACAAAATTACTTTAAAATAACAAAATAATAAAAGTTTGTGTCTGTTTGGAAAGCTTTGTGTAATTACTTGGCTCCCTAATAATTATACAGCCAAATAATTATATAATATAGTAATTACAATAACTTGTTTGTTTGTCGTGATGTAATTACAACGTAATTACATATATCATGTTTGGTTGTACAAGTGTAATTACATAGATATATAAATATTTTTTCAGATCAACATATAAATAATCTTTACTATGTGATAAATATTTATATATAATAATAAATATTATTTATTATAAAGTACCTATAATAACTATTTTGATATACACATCTCCTTATGTACCTAATCATTATTTTTTTTTTTGATCAACAGGGATTTATATATATATATATATATATATATATATATATATATATATATATATATCACAAAATAGTAACAGTAGGATCGCCCGGGTGGGCATTTTCTACTTGGCTATTACAAACTACCAACAAGTTCCGCAGGACATTGTGGTTACCAAAAGCTGCTAGTCTATGACAAACATCCTTGTTAAGATGCCTAATAACATAAGTTTTTCCATCATTGTCTGATTTAATGGCATTAGTAACAAAATATGGGGCATAGAAGATAAAGGTGGTATCCCTGCTGTTGCTGTTTCCTTTCAAGCCTTCTCTAGCCAGCATGTGTACTACCTTGTTGGCCTCCCTGAATATGTGATGTACTCCCTGGACCTTCACTTGCTTCATTAACCATCTGCACTCATTAAAAATGTCATTAAATAAAAGTAGTCCATTTCTTAAGCAGTTAATAACATCAGTTGAATCTGTTTCTATATCTAACTTTGTAAAACCTTGCCTAAGTGCAGTCGTAAGACCAATCTTAAAGGCCATTAATTCTGCATGCAGAGCAGGTAATCCTGAGGTTTTCCCATGATATCCAGCAATCCATTGGCCCTTATAATCTCTTAATACCCCCCCCCCCCCCAATAACCGCAAAGTGATTGGTCTTTATTGAAAAAACCGTCAAAGTTAAGCTTGATAGAGTCATTGGAAGGTTTGTTCCACCTAACCTGGACAGGGATTTTTGCTGGCTTAACAATTTCTCTGTCAGTTAGAAGTTTGAACTCTACTGCAAATTTTATAGCACTTTGAATGTTGGTAGAGTGTGTGTCGTTGTTAAAAAGGTTATTGTTCCTGTTTAACCAAATTATCCAAATGGTAAAAGGAAATAGGTCCTGCCGATCGATAATGGAATTTTTGAGAGATGATTTTGAGTCTCGTAATTGTATGAGCCAGTCAGTGGTATCATTCCAGGTTCTAGGGTTGATACCTAAGTAGACCCATAATTGCTTGACTGTTATGCATTCTAGGAATACATGTTTAATAGTTTCTTTATCCGATTTACAGGTAGAGCATATAGGGTCTATGTTAATACCTATATGGTTTAAGAAGTTTCTGGTTGGAAGCTTATTATGATAGATTTTCCATAGTAGATATTTAATTTTGTTTGGACATTTTGTGTCCCATATCCAAGTGAAGTCCCTGTGGCAGACTAATTGCTCCTCTAGGAGTCTGTAGCAGGATTTGCTAGTGAAAAGTCCATTTGAGCTCAAAGCCCAAAGGGGAGTGTCGTAGGGATTATTACTGAATTGGGTAGCCTTGATTTTATTGGTGATAGTTGGTTCTAGGGTCATAGAGATTTTGGAGAAATCCCAATTGTTATTGTTCAAAATGTCCATTATGGCAAGGGATTCATCTTGTAGGGTTAAGGGACCCTCAATATTTTCAAGCAGAGATGTGAGCTCAGGGATCCAACGATTGTGCCAAACACTTAGAGTAGAGGATTTGTGAGGCATCCAAGTGATCCCTTTATTACAAATTCCCCAACCTATAATAATACCATTCCATATAAAGGAATTATTAATCAAAGTATTTTTTGTACCATGGAGGCATTGTAATGTTTTGGCCTAAGGTGATTCAGAGTTATGAAGGAGTCTCCAAGTAAAGTTCGCTAGATTTACTAGGTTTTTCTTTTTTGCGGCATGAATACCTAGCCCTCCTACCTTCTTGTTTTGGGTTATCTTATCCCATTTAATGAGATGTAATTTTTTTGATGTACTATTTGATCCCCATATAAAATCACGTTGGATTTTGTCAATCTTGCTAAGAATTTTAGCGGGGAGAAGGGTGTATTGCATTGAGTGGTTTGGAAGAGCATTCAAGCAGGAGCTTGCTAGGGTACATCTGCCTGCCATACTAAGAAGGTTAGATTTTCAAGTGCTGAGTCTAGATATCATGTTATCAAGAACAAATTGAAAATCTTTGGCCCTAGGCTTGGAGTTTGTGATGGGGAAGCCTAAGTATTTGCCAAAAGAATTACTAACTTTGATATTAAAGGATTGTGAGAGGGTAGTTTGTGTATTTTTAGGGAAATGTTTTGATACAATGATTTTTGACTTGGCCTTATTGATGGATTGTCCTGATAGAGACAGAAAGAACTAACACACTCCTTAATGGCATCGATTGATTTTTTTATTAATATTCGCCATTAAGGTAAGATCGTCCGCAAAAAACAAATGAGATATTTGGAGATTGTTGTTACCAATTCTAATTGGGTCCCAACATCTTATATCTACCTTATGGTTAATCAGAATGGACAACATTTCCATGCATAATATGAAGAGATATGGGGACATGGGGTCACCTTGACGGATCCCTCTACTAGGTGAGAAATAACTGGTTCTAGTACCATTAACTAAGATGGATATTCTACTAGTGGTGACACAACTCATTATAAGCTTTGTAATATTTGGAGGGAATTTAAAGAATCTTAACGTTCTGTAAATGAAAGACCATTCCAAACGATCGAAAGCTTTTACTAAATCAATTTTCAATATCATATTGTGATTTTTGCCACGATATTTATTCATTTTGAGAATTAGTTCTTGAATGATAATGGCATTGTCACATAATGCTCTCGGAAGGGCTAATCAAAAGGTTTAGAAAGGGTTTCAGTCTAGTGGAGATAACCTTGGTGATTATTTTGTAGACGGTGTTGCACAGACCTATGGGTCTAAAAAATTTTAAGTTGTTAGCATTGGGGATTTTGAGTATTAGGCAGATCAGCGTATCATTAATAGTGCTAGGAATTATACCAGTTTTGAAAGCTTCTTGGCAGAGATTAGTTACTGAATTCCCCACAATATTCCAATAGTTTTGAAAGAAAAAGGGGTGAAGGCCATCTGGCCCGGGTGCCTTGAAAGGTTTGAAGGAGTAACAAGCCTTGGTAATTTCAGCATGAGTAATAGGATCATCAAGGGAGGAGAGATCCAGCTTTGTGAAACATTCAGGGTCATTTTTAATGAGATTCCAGTCACTACTAATGTGGGATGAAGTGAAAGTCATTTCAAAATAGTTTTTAGTATGATTAATAATGTCATCAGGGTTATCAATCCACATACCTTGATCATTCTTGAAGTAGTTAATCGTATTAACTCTTTTTCTATTCGTGGCTACAATATGGTAGAATTTTGTGTTAGCATCACCTTCATTAAGCCAGTGAATTCTAGAACGGAGTTTTCAGTAATCCTCCTCCATTCGTAGAATATTATTGTACTCTTGAGTTAAGGATTGTTCTAAGGATTGGAGAAAAAAACTATGATAGTAGGATGGGGAGTTTTGGATACCTTTTAGTCTAGCAAGGATGATTTTTTTCTTTCTAAAAAGGTCTCCAAAAACAGTATTTTCCAACTAATTACAGCCTTATTGAAAATATAAG